TTCTTGTAGAGGACGTCAATGCCTACAATTTTCATATAAAAATTTTTTCGCTGGCGTCAAGTCATTTACCGATTTCCTTTAATAATATCTCCTCTATGCTTCAATGTTGAACTATTTAAAACTGCGTTAAGAGATTACACTCCGAGTCTGTCTATTTTTATGCAAAACGAACTATGTTATAATGACACCAGTTATAAACAAAAAAACGTATTGCAAATAGAAATTGTTTTTATCACTCTGCTTGTGACTTTCCAGTTATGTCACTATCGCGTAGTACGAATGATATTAGCATAGGAAAAAGTCCGATAGCTATTTACCGGCATGCTCGCGATTCGATTGTTCCTGTTTCTCGATTTGCATCCGTTATAACAGGTTTTCATCGTGGGATCTGGTTACGAACCGGTCCAGCATTCTAGTTTACGTGTTTCTCAGCGCACTCGAGCGCCAATGCGTGTATGATAATTACCGTAAACCGCACGGTGTTCGCAAAATTCGACGCACGAGACCGGAGAAAAGAGAAAGCGTTTCGATTTCGAGTACTCGCGATGCATAATGCACGTACATAGATACACAAACGGGCACGTATGATGCGGCCTAACGCAACTTGTTATTTGACATTTATCCGGACGACAATGAAAAGGAAAGAAAGCTGGCGGTACGGAAAAGATACTTGGGAGGACGCTCGTACGTGGCACGCATCGTCTATTAACTTAATGCTCAACTTGTACCTCGTCCAAGTGGGATTAATTCAATATTAGATTCTGGGTTAAATAATATTATAATAATAATAATATAATAGTAATTCAATAGATATTAGATTCTGGGTTAAATAATATTATAATAATAATAATATAATAGTAATTCAATAGATATTAGATTCTGGGTTAAATAATATTATAATAATAATAATATAATAGTAATTCAATAGATATTAGATTCTGGGTTAAATAATATTATAATAATAATAATATAATAGTAATTCAATAGATATTAGATTCTGGGTTAAATAATATTATAATAATAATAATATAATAGTAATTCAATAGATATTAGATTCTGGGTTAAATAATATTATAATAATAATAATATAATAGTAATTCAATAGATATTAGATTCTGGGTTAAATAATATTATAATAATAATAATATAATAGTAATTCAATAGATATTAGATTCTGGGTTAAATAATATTATAATAATAATAATATAATAGTAATTCAATAGATATTAGATTCTGGGTTAAATAATATTATAATAATAATAATATAATAGTAATTCAATAGATATTAGATTCTGGGTTAAATAATATTATAATAATAATAATATAATAGTAATTCAATAGATATTAGATTCTGGGTTAAATAATATTATAATAATAATAATATAATAGTAATTCAATANACTATATTCCTTGTTTTCGATTAGATTTTATGTGAGGAATCATCCCCTTGGTTGTACCACGATTTCGCAAACACCCTGTATACAACTGATTGGCATAATAACCTCGAGTTATAAACGTGCTGTGCCAGAGGTACAGTTCCTTATAAACAAAACATTAATTTTTGTTATCTAGATTTATAAATAATCCAATAACAAAGTATAAAAGTGATCTTTAATACTCCACCAATCCTTTCTGTTATTCTGATCATCATTAATTCGGATTTTCCTCGTTATTTCGAAAATTCTTTAGAATTATCGCTTTATTTTTGTATGAAGTGAAATGAGATGAGACGAAACCGTCATGAGAGATGATAATACGTTATAAAAATCGAGTTTTCTTCTGAAAACGTAGTTGTTGGCGTGCGTCACTGCGCTAACCTCGGCCCAATACAACCAGGACGTAGACAATTTGTCGCCGAAGGGCTTGCCAGCAACCTTGCGTTCGGCCCGTTTCCAGAGGCTGCCATCTGCCCGACCGGTACTTCCGACTCAAGCTGCAATCGCTCTCGCGAATCAACGGATTCGACGGCCTATCACGTTTAAGTATGCATCCATTCATTATCGTACATACAACGATTATTAGAAAAATCGATTTCATTAAAAATCAGTGAATAATTAACAATCCTTAAAAAAAAATGACGAGGGTTGGAATAATTATTAAAAAGGAAGATACGCGATGTCTTGTCTTCTAAACGCGTTTCTTCTCGCTAATATTTCTGATACATTTACTGTACCATGTTTATTTGTTAGTCCTAGTCTTAACCCTTTGCACTCGTGGCCTTTTGCGCTCGGGCGAACCAGCAACTCGAGACGATTTCGGCNCCCTGTATACAACTGATTGGCATAATAACCTCGAGTTATAAACGTGCTGTGCCAGAGGTACAGTTCCTTATAAACAAAACATTAATTTTTGTTATCTAGATTTATAAATAATCCAATAACAAAGTATAAAAGTGATCTTTAATACTCCACCAATTCTTTCTGTTATTCTGATCATCATTAATTCGGATTTTCCTCGTTATTTCGAAAATTCTTTAGAATTATCGCTTTATTTTTGTATGAAGTGAAATGAGATGAGACGAAACCGTCATGAGAGATGATAATACGTTATAAAAATCGAGTTTTCTTCTGAAAACGTAGTTGTTGGCGTGCGTCACTGCGCTAACCTCGGCCCAATACAACCAGGACGTAGACAATTTGTCGCCGAAGGGCTTGCCAGCAACCTTGCGTTCGGCCCGTTTCCAGAGGCTGCCATCTGCCCGACCGGTACTTCCGACTCAAGCTGCAATCGCTCTCGCGAATCAACGGATTCGACGGCCTATCACGTTTAAGTATGCATCCATTCATTATCGTACATACAACGATTATTAGAAAAATCGATTTCATTAAAAATCAGTGAATAATTAACAATCCTTAAAAAAAAATGACGAGGGTTGGAATAATTATTAAAAAGGAAGATACGCGATGTCTTGTCTTCTAAACGCGTTTCTTCTCGCTAATATTTCTGATACATTTACTGTACCATGTTTATTTGTTAGTCCTAGTCTTAACCCTTTGCACTCGTGGCCTTTTGCGCTCGGGCGAACCAGCAACTCGAGACGATTTCGGCT